CCCCAAAACCCCAAAACCCCAAAACCCCTCAGTGCTCTCCAAAAATAGATTTTTCAAATTTTCTTAAAACTCCTTTACCCCTACTTTGTCCTGCTTCCTTTGCCTTCCTCTTCATCCATGGCCCACTGCACTTTCAGCTTACCCTTCGTATCATACTGAGTGGAGGGATTCTCCCTCCACTTCTGTTTGACAGACCTTTTAGGAGGAAGAGGGACCTTCTTCCGAAGGTAGTGTAGAAGGTTGCCTTTGTTCTCATTGCGTTCAAGTGGATTTTCGGAGATTTTGAAAGTGAAGGGGGAGGAGGGGATGAGGTGTTTGGTGACTAAGCCGATGAGGAGAGGGGTGAGGCCGATGAAGAGGGAGAAGAGGTGGTGGTAGATGTTGATGACTTTGTAGGAGATCAGTTGGTTTCCGTAGGTGACTAGAGCGGTCTGGATGAGCGTCAGAGCGAGGATAATGATGCCGGTTGTGCTCCAGATGTCGTGGAGGATGGTGATTTCGTTGGTTTTGAGGGTTTTGGAGAGGATTAGGTTTCACATTATGAAGTAGAAGAATATTTGGAAGATTATCGTTCCTGTCACTCCACTGTCTGATTCCCACAGAGAGCCTAAGGGAATCACTTGGGAAGAGAAATATTCTATAAGAATTTGAGTTACAATCAAGGCTAGTATTTCATAACTTCCTACAAGAATTATGAATTTCAAGATGTTTTCATTCAGAAGAGGATCACTATATTTCACAACATTTTGAAGGAGGAGTCCTGAGCTAGGCTTTTCTAGCAAGAACACAAATAGGACTATAAAATCAACAATGATATGCAACCAGAGAAGTTCAAAAAGGTTGAATGGAATACTTCCTTGTATTAATGTTCCAAAGAGTATAATAAACAATAGCACAAAAAGGAAGGTTCAGTAGAACTGAAGGTACTTTTTAATTATCGTAAAGAGATTTCGACCCCACAATATTCCGATTACTATTGATTTGAGGCTATCATTTTGAAGAATAGCATCAGAAGAGTGTTTTGCTACCTCAGATCCCAGCTGGTTAAGAGTCAGTCCAACATCAGCCTTCAGTAGACTCTTTGTATCAGCAGGAGTTATACCAGTGACTCCAACAGTATATCCCTCATTCTTCAGTCCTGTGACTAATAAATATTTATGCTCTGATGATGAGCATGATATTATTTTAAGGTCTTTGATTCATTCTTTAAATGCACTTTCGTTTTTAATATAATCTTTCCTCCATCTGCTCTTTTTAGAATGTGTAATTATTCCTCCGACTTTCTTGGCAAATTCTTCACCTTCGATACAAACATTGTTGACGCAGATTTCATCAAAATCACAGAGAACTCCTGTCTCTTTAGCGATTGCCTTTGTAGCTTCTGTGGAGTCTCCACTGATTATTCTGACGTTAACTCCTGCTTTCCTGCAGTCAGAGACTGCTTTCTGGGCTTCCTCACCTCTAGTAGGATCATCAAGAGCGATTAAGGAGACAAGAATAAAATGTTTTCCTATAAGCTCTGAGTTTTGCTCCTCGCTTAGGCTGTAATACTCTTCCTTTGTGATGTCTTTATAGCCAAGAGCAAGAACTCTCAATCTGTTTTTCTGATATTTTTGAATTGTCTCTTCAATGATCTGCTGCTTCTGAGAATATGTGAATGGTACCTTTTGGCCGTTGCTCGAGAGAATTCTGTTACATCTAGTTAAGAATACGTCAGTAGAGCCATTAGCATACACTCTGAGTAAGTTAGGATCTTCCTTATGCTCTGCAACTGTTACTACTATTCTTATCTGCTCGCTTGGATTTGTCTGTGAAATTTCAGTAGAATTTTTACGGATTTCTTGGTAATCAATTCCGTTCTTAGATAGGAATTCTAAGAATGCTCATTCCATGCGGTTTCCTATATGCCTCCTCTCATTGTTAAGATTTGTGACAATTCTTCCCATGGAATTGAGATGAACAACATTGATGGCCAGATTAGAGACTATCAGGTCTCTGCGTTTATCATCAATGGTTTCAATCTGAGTGTGGGTCCTATCAAAAACATCTATTTGTACAACCTCCATTTTATTTAGTCGTCAGTGTACCTCCTTTTTCGATACAGAGCTGGTCGATACGGGCCATATTCTCTGGAGTTGACTTGGAAAGACAAATTCAGTTTTCGCTTGATATTTTAATAATGTAGGTGATGATGAACTCCACAGCATTCGATAGTCCCACTGGGATAAACATTATTAGGAGAATACAGAAGTAGGTGATCAGATAAAATGTCCCTCCGAAGATCTCTAGGCCTTTTAGGTTATAATTTGCCTCTTCTTGATTCAAGTTTACCCATATGTGCTTGAAAAACATTGTGGATAAGATTATAATACACATTGGCAATGAATACTTTCCAATGTTGTTCACTATTCTGTCAATTTTAGATTGGAGTATTGTTCTCTTTTCACCCATTATTGTGTAATATGGGCTATGTAAGTTCTGGCTCCTGACATATGTATTCCTTCCAACAGCGAGGACAAGTGCTTTCATCCTCCCTGAAATCACAAAAGTGGAAGCTAATAGGAAAGGATCTGGAACTTCAATATCATAGCTCTGCTTAGATTCTTCTTTTTGTTTTTCAAAAGTTTCTTGGAAGACCTTAATAGCTTTCTTTTGAACTGGATTGATATCAGGTGTGAGATATGATTCATCTACTTTTGCTTGAAGGTTTGCTTCTATTACGACACAGTCTGCAGGGATGGCATCCCCTCCAGACAAGATTACAATGTCACCGACTACTAATTCAGATTGTTTGATCACAAACTCTTTTGAATCTCTAATTACAGTGACTTCAATCTTGTTTTCCATTTCTCGAATAGTATTGAGCAAAGTGTTGTGCTTGTATCTTTCAAAGATGATATGGAGGACAAGGATTAAGACGTACATTGATAGAACAGTAGTTCCGATCAACCAAGTATTCAATGTAGAGTTGTTTTCCTCAAAGATTGAAATCGCGAGTAAAATTAGACAACACAACAAAAGAATGCTCCACATTTTATCTTTAAAATGATCGAGAGTGTAAGCCGAAATAGTTCTTTTACGAGAAAGATTCACATCAGAATAGTCATTGTCGCCTGTTTTTCTTGGTGTTTTCTCAGGTGTCATTAGATTATTACCATATTTATTCCTTCTTTTGAGTATTTCAGACTCATCAAGAGAGATTCCTTGATGGGCTGATGTGTTAAGTCTCCTCATGAGTTCATTTATATTCATTTTTCTTAGAGACATTGGCATCTCAGCTCCTTCCCTTTCTCTGTTATCTTTATCAAAGAAGCTCATCAGGAGTTCTTTGTCAATATCGAGAGAATCTGGTGCATATCCTTCAAGCAAGTGGTCTTCCATCATTCAGAATCTCTGATTCAATATTATATCTAAAAAAAGGGGTTTTGGGGTTTTGGGGTTTTGGGGTTTGGGG